ACCACTTATGTGCAGCCCTGGTTATTTAGCTCGTCATATTGCAGCCACAGAAATTCTTTTGTCCATGAAACCATAAAGCTGCACTTTCTTTTTGCCTTATAGTCTGATTTGTCATAACTTCTCCGTTTTGTGGTAAGCTTTTCTTTGGCTGTCACTTCTTCACCCTGACCTGTCTTATTTGGCTCAGCAGAACTGAAATGCTTTTACACGCTCACTCACATAAGCTCAGCGATTCTCTGCGCGATCAACCTCTCACATGTTTAAGCTGCGGGAGATTTCACTTGTCATGTTTGCATAGTAAGCTAACGATTAATAAGACGATGTCAGAGGAATTGGTGCACAAATTATCATCACTCACAGATCAGTGCTGTCGCTCTCTATACACAGTTCGCACGATTGCAAAGTGAAAGCAAAAAACAAGCGCAAATTCAAACGCGATTTCAATATGTCACATATTGACAGTGGCTCACCGATGCCAATGACATAATTACCCAGCTACATTTCCGAAAGAATGCAAAAGCATTGACATATATTTTTCCTTCCTACAATAGCCCGACGGGCAGGGCAGAGATAGATTTTGGTAGCCCGACTGGAAAAATCGCTAGCCCCGGGACGTCGGGCTAGCGATATTGCGAGCCCTGTATCTGATTGAGGAATCACTCATCTTTGGAAAAGAGAGTTTATTACAGAGAAATGTCTCTTTCCAAAATAAAAGCTATACTATCCGCTTCTTCTGGGCTATATTCTCAGCAGCATAAGGAGAATCATGTGCTAACAGCTGTCTAAATGACTCGGCTAAAGTTAGTAGCATGCTTGTTGTTTTTGTCTTTGCACTAGGATGATGTCGGCGTAAATGTGCAGTCATATTCGTTGTGTTCCCACTAGTGCTTTCAGGTTAATCTCGTTGAAATGACCTTAACGCCACAACACGGCAAATCTCCGTTAACGAGCTACCGCCGATCGCCCCGTGCATGGGGCTAGACGGCCAACACGTTAACGAGCTAACTGCGCTAACACACTAGTTCACACCAATGTAATTGAGCATTGCGTGGCACATCCAACATACTGTTTTACTTTAGTCCATGACTCGCTTACCTTCAGGGTCATACGTCACATGAAAACCAAAATAATTCCAAACGCCAGATCTGAATGAGGTTCAATTTGCTTGTTGCAAGCAGAGCTTAACTTCTGTCTCGCTAGCTTGCCCTGCGCTCTTCCTTCTGACTATGCTGTCTGTGTTGAGCGCTCAGTGGATCTGCGCTCGACAGTGCAGCCTAGGCGGAGTAGTCGAACGCAGATTCACTGAGCGCTCAACACAGACAGCATCGTCAGAAGGAAAGTTGATAAAATAAATTACAAATTTTGTATTGTTCGATACATATGCGTACCGAACCGAAAGCACTGTATCGAACGGTTCAATATCGATACGAGTATCGTTGCACCCCTAATATTTATAATATATATTATATATATATATATATATGTATATATATATGTATATATATATATATGTATATATATATATATATATATATATATATATATATATATATATATATATATATATATATATATATATACACTGGGTGAATGTGCAGTAGTAGCAGCAAGCAGGTGAATTCTGTACATTAATATGAATAGACATCTGACTATTTTACAGGATAGACAATATAAACATATTTAAAATTAAAGGAATTGAAATGTACATTGTGCCTTGGTTTAGTGTCTGGAAGAGTCCTGTCTCAGTCAATTATAGATGATGTGAGAGGGCGGGTGTGTGTGTTTAGGGCACGGATGGCTTGGGGATAGAAGCTCCTCTTGAGTCTCTCTGTCCTTGCCCGGATGATGCGGAACCTTCTACCAGATTGCAGAAGTTGGAACAGTTTGTTGCCAGGATGGGACGGGTCCTTCAGTATCTGCGCTGCTCTAGTCCGGCATCTCCTGGTGTAGGTGTCCTATGGAACCACGATGTCATGTTCTGTGTGAGGTCTGAGGTCTGATAAACAAACAAACACTTATACTTGTTTTCATGTCTCAGTGAGGACATCTAATTGACATAATGCTTTCCCTAGTCGTGTACCCTAACCATCAAAACTGAATGCCTGACCATAACCTGACTGTAACTCTGACACTAAAACCACACTTTGAGTTTCAAAGATGCTTTCAAACTTGCAGGGACGGCACTTTGTCCCCATAAGGGCTGATGGTCCCCACAAAGATATGTAAACATGATACACGTGCACGCATGCACACACACACACACACACACACTCATCCCGTCCTTGTTGGTGTTCAGGTGAAGATGCTCCTTAAGTACAGTAACAAGTATTTACTCAGTGGTGGTGGATGTAGGTGCTGTCATCTCTCCAGTTGAGCATTAGAATAGAATAGAATAGAATAGAATAGCCCTTTACTGTCATTGTACATGTACAACAACATCGTGGGTGCTTCACACCAACTGTGCCGCAATAAACAGTAATCAGAAAAATATATATTTAAAAAATCAGAGAAAGGTGCAGATTGGCTGCTTCGTGCTTCTGAGCTCTTCATCCTCAGGCTTCCTCACAGGTGGGGTTGAGGTGCAGCTCCGTCAGCACTAAAGTGTAATAAAGCACACAGCAAACCACATTTAACAGAAAGCTGCTGATCCCAGGACAATAACAGGTAGTGATGGCTTGCTTGAAGCTCCGGTGCGTGTGTAACAAAAACGAACACACTGCTTCAGAAGCTCTGTGTCGAGGCTTGATTCGCTTGGCCTGAGTCACGTGATCAGTGACGCCCGAAGCTTCATTTACAACCTAACTGATTCAGTGGTTTGTAAGAAAGTGAATCATTCACGGGATTTGTGGAGTGTTTTGATGGTAAGAGACAGCAAACCACTGATCATTCGACTGGGAGATACGGAGGCAGCGAGGAAGAGACGAGGTTCTGTCTGTGGGAGAATTTTGAGTTGATTTTGGTCAGCCGGGTGGGTTTGCCAGCTTTGTGTTCTTGTTGTTTGCTTTTGTTTTGTGTTCGTTTATTTTATCTTCAAAACATGAGAAACTTACAATGTCAAAACAAAAATCTGTTTTTCATAATATTAATATCATAAAATAATGTTAGAAAGACTTTCATTTGACTCTTTAAATGTAATATAACAAAAAATATTTAAAATGTTATTCTACAAAATGTGCAGCAAATTAATTTGTTCATTCTGTTTAGCTGATAGTCTGTGGGACCCAGGGAGACCGTACTCCTGCATCTCTACAGTTCCTGTGCACTCAAGCGTCTTCTGTTCCATGTGAGAGCATTTTCTCTGAGGCAGGAGAGACAAACAGACTCGGCCATCGCACAGAGGAACAAATCCTCTTCTTAAATAACAACAGGATGACCTTGTTTGAAGCTGCTCACACATCGTGATGCATCATGTTTTTACTTTACAAGTTCATAAGCATTTTCCCTTTCCAGTTCACAATCAGTTCTACCCCCAGATCACAAATATGAATTTAAAAAATGGTCAAATATAATATTATTTATAAACATACCTTTCCAGCTGTCCAGGGATTAATTGCATAAGTACATGGATGCAGGACCTCACAGCAGAAGCATCCTCCATTATGTGTTTTACATTATTATTTGTATATTATATATATTTCACAAGCAATAAGTCACAAGCAAAGAAAGACCACACCATGGCACATGTTTAAAGAAGGAAATTTTATTGATCAAATTTATGTATTAAACAAATCGACGTGTTTTTTCACCCCAAAAAATACATGTTCAAAGCAACACAACGGCAGCCCGATATCAGACAGAACCTCACTGCGGAGTGTTCCGTCATAATGAAGCAGTACGTTTGATTTTGTAGATTCAAGCTGCTCTTCGTATTTTTGGCCAGCAGATGTCACCAGAGTGGACTCTGTTGAAAAGCTTCGAGTAATGAAGCTTCAGAAAGCTTCATTTGGCCATCACAGGAAACCCCGCCTCCACCCGCCTCACCTTTAATCTCAGATCCACTCGGACGGCCGCAGGAGTGAAGCCTGTTCTGGAGAAGAGCGTTTCAGGCGATCAGCTGATGCAGAGATTTCCCCTGTGGGAAAACGGAGGCAGAGCCCACGGAGTTCACGTAGTCGGTGTCAGATTTAACGTGACACACATGGACGTGTTTGTAAGGTCACGGAGAACGCAGCTCCACCGTTGGACCGAACTCCCAGGCAGCACTAACGCTCAAAGCAGGGCCGGGAACCTTTCACGTGGAGCTTGTTCCCAGCCGGAAGCCTATTGCAGGCACACCGCTCGTACCCGTAAACAGTCCGCGGGTATGGGTGCACGCGCTGCTGCTTTCCTGTAAAATTAACGTAAATTTGAATGAGGACTGAAGCCGCTCTCAGGTCAGTTTCACTCATTTAACGAAAAACCATCGATTAATCGGTTATCTATTAATCAGGCCGGCTCAGACGACACAGCTAACAGACGTCACGGCTGTCCGCGCGGGGATTGATTTTTAGTGGGAGTGTTGGTGCAGGTGAGCCTCGCGCTCAGGTTTCTGAGGTGCAGCAGGTGTCCTTCTACTGCACGAGTACAGATTACAGTGAGCGCGCGCACAGGTCAGGGTTTCCCGCTTTACTGACGTGTGCAGGTGCAAACTCTGCCCGTG